TGGTAGGACTCAGAGAAATGGAGCTTGAGAGTCTTTGATTCTGTGTTATTTCATTTCCTTTTTTTTTGTAGATAAAAGATTTTATACCAATTTATAGGAGATTGGAAGTTATGAAAAGAATTTCTTAGTAATTAGGTTGTTTGCTTATGAGAGACAGAGAGACAGTCAGAAGAAATTGGGTCTGGTGATCCTTATAACTTCTTATCTAATATTTTCCAGGTGTGTAGTTTATCCTTCTTGGTGCTAGTATGATCTTGAATGTAACTAAAATGCCAGGTTTTGAAAATGTTCACTTTAGATCTTTAAATCTGGGTTATATGATACCCAGAGGGATACACACTGAGAGGCATAGAGTAATTAATCATAATGGGGCTAACATCTATTGAGTGTTTACCAAGTGTCAGGCATCTCCCTAAAGGCTTGATATATATTGCCTTATTTTATTCCAGTACATTTTTAGGAAGTAGGTAACTATACTCCATTTTACAGATGAGAAAAGTAAGATTCAGATATCTTACTTTTTTCAGACACTGGGAGGTAGTGCTCCCAGTGTCATTGAGTAGTGAGTTATGGAACTGGACCAGAACTTATGTATGCTTCCAAAGGCTAAGGAAGTAGATATTATCTCCATTTTCACAAAAGTGAATGAGAGATGTTAAGTAACCTGGATTAAAGTCACAAAAAGTATCAGGTCTGCCTCACTCTGAAACCTATGGCTTTCACTATTAAAATTATTTTTGAGATAGTGTCTCAATATGTAGGTCAGACTAGCCTAGAAGTCACTACACAGCCCAAGTTGGCCTTAAACTTTCCTTCCTCCTGCCTCAGCCTCCTGAGCGCTAGTATTACAGATGTGTAAATCATACCTGGCCTTTTTCTTTTCTTTTTTTTTTTTTCTTTTGTAATAGGGAACCACACTCCTGACCCTTGTGTTTGTAATTTTTTTTTTTTTTTGTGGGGCTGGGGTTTGAACTCAGGGCTTTGTGCTTGCAAAGCAGGTGCTCTATCCCTTAAGCCATACTTCCAAGTCCATTTTGCTTTGGTTATTTTTGGAGATGGGGTCTCTCGAACTATTTGCCCTGTGATCCTCCCAATCTCAGCCTCTCCAGTAACTAGGATTACAGTCATGAGCCAAAGGTGTTCAGCCTGGCTATTTTTTTTTTTTTTTTGATTAAAGAAAGGTCTCACTGTGTTACCCAGTCTGGCTCCAAACTGCTGGTCTCAAAGGATCCTTCTTCATACAGGTACATGCCACTGTGCCCAGTATATTAAATTCTAAGTTATTATTGAGCTTTAAGGAATGCAGATGGAGAACACAATGTATTAAGAATATTAGAATTGATCCAACAATCGCACTTCTTGGTATTTACTTAAAAAATTTGAAATCAGTACCTACATTTTAAAAAGCTAGAAGAAATGGAATGGGGTGGCACAGACCTGTAGTCCTAGCCCTTGGGAGGCTAAGGCAAGAGAATGCCTTGAGTCCAGGAGTTTGAGGTCAGTCTAGGCAACATAGATAGACTTAAAGAGAAATAAGGAAGAAGAAAGGATTTTGAATGTTTTCACCATAAAGAAATTATAAAAGTTTGAGGGAATAAATGTTTGACTTGATTTAGATATTATACAATGTATACATGTATAGAAACATTGTATGGTACCCATTAATATGTGTATTTTTTATGTTTTTGTTAATCAGTAAAAAATTTAATTAAAAAAAGATTTAAAGTCAGTTTGTTGAAGAGATATTTGCATTCTATGTTCATTGCAACACTATTCACAATACCCAAGTTATGGAATCAACCTAAATGTCTATCAGCAGATGAACTGTGGTAATATATACAATGGAATACCATTCAGCCTTTAAAAAGAAGGAAATTCTGTCATTTTGCAACTATGTGGATAGACTTGGAGAATATCTTGCTAAGTAAAATAAGCCAAACACAGAAAGACCATAGTTAATACAGTTAATATAGTTAATAAAATTACTAAGAGAATAAATTCCAAATGTCCTAACCACAAAAAATAATAAGTATTTGAGGTGATATGCTAGTTAGCTTGATTCATTTATCTTACAATACACATTTATTCCATAAATAGTTTCTATCAACTGCTGATTTATAATAAAATAATGAGAAAACAACAAATAACCACCAGGAGATACCATATCACATCATTAGAATAACTATTATTAAAGTAAGTACTTAGCCTTCAAAAATTAGAATTTAAAAAAAAAGTTAGGTTGACCACCCTTATGAATTAGGCATTAAAGAGTAAAATTTCAGAGGCACCTGCACATCCATGTTTATTGCGGCACTATTCACAATAGCCAAGTTATGGAAACAGCCAAGATGCCCCAGCACTGACGAATGGATTAAGAAAATGTGGTATCTATACACAATGGAATTTTATGCAGCCATGAAGAAGAACGAAATGTTATCATTCGCTGGTAAATGGATGGAATTGGAGAACATCATTCTGAGTGAGGTTAGCCTGGCCCAAAAGACCAAAAATCGTATGTTCTCCCTCATATGTGGACATTAGATCAAGGGCAAACACAACAAGGGGATTGGACTATGAGCACATGATAAAAGCGAGAGCACACAAGGGAGGGGTGAGGATAGGTAAGACACCTAAAAAACTAGCTAGCATTTGTTGCCCTTAACGCAGAGAAACTAAAGCAGATACCTTAAAGCAACTGAGGCCAATAGGAAAAGGGGAACAGGTACTAGAGAAAAGGTTAGATCAAAAAGAATTAACCTAGAAGGTAACACCCACGCACAGGAAATCAATGTGAGTCAATGCCCTGTATAGCTATCCTTATCTCAACCAGCAAAAACCCTTGTTCCTTCCTATTATTGCTTATACTCTCTCTACAACAAAATTAGAAATAAGAGCAAAATAGTTTCTGCTGGGTATTGGGGGGCGTAGAGGGAGGGGGCGGAGTGGGTGGTAAGGGAGGGGGTGGGGGCAGGGGGGAGAAATGAACCAAGCCTTGTATGCACATATGAATAATAAAAGAAAAAAAAAAAGTAAAATTTCTATACCACATTGTTAGGCCAAGGAAGAACACATCAACCAAAGGCCTAAACAGCAAGGATAAATTCATATATGATGAATGAAAGTCTCTGAGGGCAGAAAAGGAACTTTTGGAAAAATATGGCATCACTGAGAGATGCTATTATTTATTTACTGCAGTTGGCTGCTATTCTCAGTCTCAGTCGCAATTCCCACATTGAGGCTGTTCCCACCCTTCCTGTGTCCCTTGAGCTGAGCAGGCACTTCCTGTCCTATTGGAAATGAAAGTTAGAGATTGGGGGTGGATGTGGATGTGTGTATTTACTCTGCAGAACGCAAGTATTGCCTGTTCTGTTACCACAGCAAAAAGGTGACAGGAAAACCAGAGCAGAGACCAGAACTTCATCTTAGGGAGAGTTGGAGCTTAATGTTTCTTGTGACAAAGCAGACAGGGTTAATTTATGTCTGGGGAATACTTCTGATGGCAGCAAGGTGGCCTTATGAGGGGATTTGAAGATTTACAGTCTACATCCCTATTCCACTTGGATGAATAGGGTTCCTTTTTAATCATTCTTAAGGTTTTGGTGTCCTACAAGTTTCTTTCTTGTTAAGGCTACTCCTACAAAGGCATTCCTTTGAAACTATTAGAGGTGAGTGTTGTTGCAAATGTGTTAGATTCTTGACTCTTCTTTCCTAAGAAATTTTATATTTTTCTTCTCTGTGAAGCATATGCTTTTTTAAATAGTTATATATGTATTATATATATACATATTTATATTTAATATATATCATATATATTTATATATATATATTTTAAATTTACAGCTCAGAGACTACTTGAAGCAGACTTCAGCAAACATCAATTCCAAGTTTGGTAAGTTACTGTACTTGTTTCACCTTATGGATTTTAAAGACTAGGAAATAGTGGGCTAAGCTAAATAAACGCTGTGGCTCAGTGGTAGAGTACTTGCCTAGCATGCATGAGGCTCTAGTCCTGGATTTGATCCATAGCACCCGAGGTGGGGAGGTGGGAAGGCCAGACATAGTGGCTCATGTCTAGTAACTCCCGCACTTGGGAGGTGGAAGCAGAAGGTTCATGATACAGTTCAGTTTGATAGTGCCTTCTTAGGTATGAACTCCTTCCTAGGAGAATCTGAAACAGGAGTTCAGGCATTAGTCCATCAGTGTGCCCCAAGAAAAACAGAACTATCTAAGGATCTGAAATTAGAAATTAGTTACTTCCCATACTCTTTATTTTTCTCTGCTCTTTGGTTCACTCCTTTCTTTGTTCTTTCTTAGGGCTTAAACTCAGGGCCTACGCCTTAAGCCACTCCACCAGCCATTTTTGTGTTAGGTATTTTCCAGGTAGGGTCTCACAAACTATTTGCCTGGGCTGGCTTTGAACTGTGATCCTCCTGATCTCTGCCTCCTGAGTAGCTAGGATTACAGGCGTGAGCTTTCTTAGTGCATTGAAATCACCTAAATGTAAAGTAGGGGAAGCCTTGAGCTTATCTCACACACTCCATCCATATGGTTTTCTTCAGATGCTCTCAGAGGCTGTGTTTAAGGGGTCCCTCTCTAAGGGAAAAGAGGGGAAAAAAATTCGTTGTCTTTTCATGATAATCAGAACTTGTCCATGGAGAAAAAGGGGATGAATTTGAAGAGGTTAGACCCAAGAACTCCTCTTTCTAGCCTTAACTATTGAGTGAATGGAAAACAAACCAAAATGTAACATCTTGGGCATTAGGACCCTGTGGAACTGGCTCCTCCCGACTCTGGGTTAACTTCTTTCAGTGACGAAGCAGCCCTAGCTCATTCTTACCCATAGCCCCCCCACCCCCATCTCTCTCTCTCTCTCTCTCTCTCTCTCTCTCTCTCTCTCTCTCTCTCCTACTCCTTTTCTCCCCTTTCTCCTCCCCCTCCCTTCTCCCTCTCCCTCCCTCCCTCTCTCCTTCTCTCTCCTCCTTCCTCCCTTTCCCCCTCCCTTTCCTTCTCCCTCTTCTGTCTCTCTCTGTTCCCTAACATTAAAGAGAAAATGCTGCTATCAGTGACTTCCAGGCCTGGGATTTCGACTTTTGGCTATAACAAGAACAACAAGAAGGTAGGGAAAAAGTGCTTTTTTGGAATCCAGCAACTTCCTTTTCTGGGGATCCGGGAGTGCCCTTGGTTTTAGCATTTTCCTTTAAGAGAGGAATGAGATTCTCTCCTCTGAGTGCCTCTCCCTTTTCCACCAATTTTGTTGGTGCTTTTTCTCACCTGGTTCTGGAAGTTAAAGAAATTTATAGTCCTTGTTTGTGAGGCCTGAGAACTAAGAAGACAAGGAAAGTTAGAAATAAATCCAAGTTTGAAAGTTTGTATCCTTGTGAAATGAAGTCAGTTTGACTTCCTGTTGATGTACCAATCTCCATGGGGATAATGTCATCTCAGACCTTGTCCCCTTGCCCACCTCCCAGAGGTAACTGTATTTTTTGATTGTTTCCATCCTCCCCCACTGTACCTTCCTTCCTACTCTTACCACCAGAAAGCTGAAATCACAGGTAGTCAGTAAAATCTCACAGCTCATCAAGAATTGGATGTGTGCTTCAAGACCACTCCACCCCACCCAGCCCATAGAAAACTCTATAGGAGTCTTGAGACATGGCATGCCTTGGGATTAAGGCAGAAAGCTCTGTGATTCTTTGGGTCTTGCTTTTCAGCTGATACTTGGAGCTCTGCAGATAGCCAGGCTTAGCAGGGATCCTTGGAGTCTTTACAATTAACCCATGGATGCCAGAAAAGTTATATTATGGTTGGGTAAATGGGAAGTCTGGGGAGAGTGGAAATCTTGCCTACATTATCCAGATAATAACCTTGGAAGTTTTCTTGGCATTCCAGGGGACACAACAGAAATTAAGAAGAACTTCATGCTGTAGCAGGAAGACTTTTTATCCATTCTCTGGGTGTTATAGTTGTTCTTTGAAGAAAAAATGTATTATAAACATGTAGGGATTTTTTGCTCATGTAATACTGGACAGTAGGGAGAGAGTTCTGCTGCTTTCTCATGTATCTAAAGAAACCATTACAGACAGATTTAAACATAAGTGTCTGAGTTGGTAAATAGGTGAATAGATCCAAAACACCTTGTGTTAGTTATGGGTATCAGTTTGTGTGATATTCATTCTGTTTATATCCTTAAGAAATAAAAGTCCATAAATATTTATTGGTTATCAATATATGTATGTACATATTGAGATCTTAGTATCAAATATATTCATATTATTCAAATATACATATTATTTATTGTATATCTTACATATATATATTCAAAAGGGGAATATTTCATCTGCATTCTCTTCAAATCTGTATAGTACTGTGGAAAGTTTCCTTCCTGACTTTTCTCTCCAAGATTCTCAGGTTACCCAGAACCCATTAAAAGTAAAATGAACCCCTCAAGTTAATTTTTTCATATTTCAGGGTTTAATGTATTTGAAGATATCTAAAATCTCTCTTCTCAGTTCTTTACTCAGTCTTCTCCCTTGGAGTATGGGAACACTTAAACAGCTTCTAAATCTAGTAGAGTATAGGGGATAAGAGGTATGGCTGTGGATTTGGATTCAAATCTCATATCTCTTCCTAATAATCTGTAAAGTTTGGGGAGCAGTTCAGTAAACATTAGGACCAGTGGACAGAGTAAGAAGGGAAGTAGATACATAAGTACTAGTTTATTTTTAAAGCATTCTTGGAGTACTTTTTTTTTTCCAGTGATACTGGGGTTTGAACTCAGGGCCTCCCTGTTGCAAAGCAGGTGTTTCACCACTTGAGCCACACTTCCAGTCCATTTTGCAGGGGTTATTTTGGTGATGAACTCTTACTGTTTGCCCTTGTTGTCCTCAAACCATGATACTTCTGATCTCAGCCTCCCAGGTCACTTACAGATGAGCCACCAGCACCCAGCTTGGTTTCTTTTTTTAAATTTTGTGGTGGTACTAGCATTTGAACTAGGGACTCATGCTTGCTAGATAGGCATTTTACCACTTGAGCCATGCTTCCAGCCCTTTTTTGGGTTCTTACAGGTCAATGTCTGTTCGTTTTCATGGTACTAAGGTTTGAACTCAGGACCTTGTACTTGCTCGGCAAGCACTGTAACACTGGAGCCACACCTCCAATCCCTTGCAGGTCAATGTTAGGAGACATCTAAGTATGTCATTTATGTGCATTTCTTTGAGGCTATGTCTCTGACTCCTTGTGTGTATGTATAGGCTGTGAATGTTAAATGTTAGGTGTGTTTAAACTTAGGCATTACTTATTGTTCTTTATCCTGGTAGTAATATAGGGCTTAATGCGTTTGTTTCTGTTTTGAGAAGTGTTTTAAATGCATTTGTTCATGTAAATTTGTGCATTTTTTTAAACCCATGGTTAAAAATTTTTAAATAACTTTTCCTAGTTTTTAGTGATAAATGTAAGACATACCATTTTTAAATTAATCACAAAGAAGTTTATAAAATAAATTCTTCTTGTCATACCCCACTTCTTAAATCCCACTCCTCAAGGAAAATAACTAGTAATAGTTTGATGGATGTATTCTTCCAGACTTTGGTTTATTCCAAGACAATTTCAATTTTTTTTTTTTTCACTACTCAGGCCTGAACTCAGGGCCTTCACCTTGAGCCAGTCCACTAGCCCTATTTTTGGGAAGGGCTTTTCCAGATAGGGTCTCACAGAACTGTTCGCCCAGGCTAGCTTCAAACCATGATCCTCCTGATCTCTGCCTTCTGGGTAGCTAGAATTACAGGCATGAGCCACTAGCACCTGACACAATTTCAGTTTTGACAGTGGGTAATTTGCCATTTTTGTTAAGGTCTGGGTTTCTCAAGTAGAACATGTCTATGTAATAAAGTTCTTGGACTTGTCCAAAATGTTTAAAAAACAGAAATAGGGCTGGGGGTGTAGCTCAGTGGGAGAGCACATGTTTAGCAAGCCCTAGATTCCAACTCTAGTACCCCCTACCTTCCCAAAAAAACCCTAAAATACAAAATTACAAATATCTACTACTTTCTGTAAATAATATTTTATTTCTAGCTGTAGTTATCACCTCTAGTTTGTGGAATAGAGAATAATTATAATCACCAGTGATATCAGTTGAAAAGCTGCTATTTGTACACCACTGTTATTTACTTGACTTTTAAAAATGATTATTTTATTTTGAAACATGTTTATCTACTTCACTTACCAGGAAAGGTATTTCCTGAGAAGCTCATGACACTCATAGTTTTCTTTTTCTCTTTTGGCTGGTAAGAAATATAAGAATATACTCAACAAATGTATAATGCCTAATATCAGATTTTTTTGGGGTGGGACTGGGGTTTGAACTCAGGACTTTACACTTAACAAGTAGTCATTCTGCCATTTGAGCTACACCTCTAATCTATTTTTCTCCATTTTGGAGATTGGGTCTCTCAAACTATTTGTCTGGGCTGATCTGAATCTCCATCTCTCCTGATCTCAGCCTCCCAAATAGCTAGGATTACAAGTGTGAACCACCAGTGCCCTATGTAATAGCAGATTGTTTCTTGAAGTGTGTCAAATTTCCATTCATTTCTTTGGCATTAAAGTAGTTACAGTAGGGGGAAATGTAGATTTCAAAAAGGGATTCTGCAAGATAATTTAATGTGTTACTTTTTAAAAACATCAGTTTCAGTGGCCTTCAGCTACTCTTGGTTTGTTGAAAAGTCTGAAGCAAAAAAAAAATTAGTTCTGGGGTCTTAACACTGTTTCTTCAATGTTTGAAGGAGTTGCCTCAGTAGAGAGATTGGAGGATAGGTGAGACTGAAAGAGGAAATGTTTGGGACTAAAGGAATTTCATACTTGCAAAGGGCCTAACCACGCCTTCCCTGACATCATCTCCCTGGCATGTGTTATTATAATTTAACTCCTTATAGCATCAACAGCCATTTCCTTTAGAAAAAAGAAAAGGGCTGCTTTTTAACTTTGGACAATTTGCCTTCCCCACATATTTTGCATAAATTTCCATTTTTTTCTTCTTTTTCCTTTTTTTTTCTTTTTTTTTTGAGATAGGCTCACTACATAGCCCAGGCTAACCAGACCCAGGCTGGCTTAAAGCTCAGGATCCTCCTGCCTCAGCTAGTTTTTCTTGATGTTAACATATTGAAGGTCCATGTGGGGATGAAGACAATGCTGAAAGAGGAGCTGGCTAGTGGGTGTTGCCAGATCTTCACTCTTTGTGAAGCTTGAGATTGGCAAATGTACTGGGGAGAGAGAAGAAAGCAGAAAGGAAACAATGTAGTATCATTTATACTTTTAACAGTATATTTATAGGGTATAACAGTGTGTATGTGTAGTACTTAGCCATCTAGTGTCCACCAAATTGAGTTTAAGGTTTTTCAATTTTATTTATTAATTTGTTTTTTGAGATAGGGTCTCACTGTATAGCCCAGGCTGGCCTTGAATTTTTAGTCTTCCTGCCTCAGTCTCCTAAGTATCTAAGATTATATGTGTGCCACTATTCTTGGCTCAAATCAAAGTTTTCTTTTTTTCTTTTTTTTTCTTTCTAGGTACAAGGGTTTGAATTCAGGGCAGTTGCTTTACCACTTGAGCCACATCCCCAACCTTTTTTGCTTTAGTTATTTTTCAAATAGGGTCTTCTGTTTTAACTGGAGCCAGCCTTGGAACGTGATCCTCCTACTTAGGCTTCTTGCTACTTGTCTGGGATGAAAGGCTGTCATCCTCATGCCCAGATTGTTTGCTGAGATGAGGTCTTCATAACTGCCCCAGCTGGCCTGGTCTCAAACCAAGATCCTCCCAATCTCTAACTCCTGAGTAGCTGAGATTATATACATGAGCCACTGTAGCCACTGTGCCCAGCAACTTTTTCTTCTTCTTCTTCTTTTTTTTTTTTTTTTTTTTGAGAGAGGGTCTCAGTATGTAACCCAGACTGGTATCAACCTTGTGATCCTCCTGCCTCTACCTCCTGAGTGCTGGGGTTACAGGCATGTACCTCCATGCCTGGCTTCAAATCTAATTTAAGAGAACTCAGAACTTTTTTTTTTTTTTTCTTTTAGTGGGACTAGGGCTTTGAACTCAGGGCTCTGTGTTTGCAAAGCA